AAAGGGTGCTCAATAAATTAATACTACATTAATATCATAGAAGATGAGCTTGTGATATTAATATAATATTTCATCAATAAAGCATTGCAAAGTGTTTCTGCATATTGTAGCTGTTGTTCAGATCTTTGGGATTAGGAATGAGTCTGCAATGCAGAACACAAGTCCTGATATGCCTCATTTGAAGTTAATCGGGGATGAAAATCTCTTTGATTCAAACTTTTTTTTTTTTAATTAAAATGACATTGTATAGAAAAGTTTAAAAGGTTTCATTTTTGGTCCATGGACTGAACCAATAAGCAGTGAACAGACTTTCACTTGCGATTCCTTGAATGCAGCCAGATGCCTGCAGCCACCCAGGCCAGAAGGCCTGGGGACCCTTGAGCACAGCTCCCTGCTCGGCTGGAACAGACAGCTTGGGCCAAGGCTATCCCACCCTGCAAGAAGTGGTTTGTGGGGAAGGTGCAAAGCATCCTGGGGTGCTGAGGGACTCCAAGTTAACTTGTATCTGGAGTGGATCCAAGACAGAAATTCAATAAATCTATTTAACCTAAATTAGTTAATCCTGAATAGATGTAGTATCAGACTTATCTTAAACTGGTTTTGGCCATTTTGAAAGCAGTTTCTGTGCACAGAATTTCTGTTGCGTTACAAAAATTGAACTGGTTTCGGATCACTTATGAGTTATGTCTAATTTTTGTCTCTAGCCCTTAAGTTCGACTAGTGCAACTCTTTTTGTAGACAACCCCACAACCCATTTTGGCTGGCCAGGATTATAGAAAGAGGACAAAAAGATAAAAATGTGTTGACAAGGGGGATGAGGACATTGGTAAGTGGCAGGACATGCTGAGCTTACAAACTCAAAGCTTTACTATGTAAACATTCATGAATACATCCATAGGGGTCCCCCCCTTTGAGACCTTATTTAATTATGCAGCATGAGTTTTGGCATGAAACTTAAGTTAATTTGAGTTCCTTCTAAGGACAGAAGCTTGGAAATGCACATGTGTGATATTATTTATACAAGTAATCCTTTTGGCAGCCAAAAGGATGGATAAGGAGAGTGGTTAACTCCCTAAATGTCTGTAGGATTCCTCTCTGAGTTTCTTGCATTCAGTTGATGCCATGACAAAAATCTGCTACATCTAAGTTCTGCTATTTAAGAACTGCTGTTCACATGCAGCAATAATGCGCCATAAGGAGGCATGTTAAGGAAAAATATGCTGCTTATCTAATTACATTTTTACTCTAGGACTTCCTGTGTTATGAAGTGGCAGAATTTTGGAAAGAAATTACAATCGCTTGATTACTGTCAAAACCTTTTTGAGAGCAGATACAGGGGTTTAGTTTGTTTTCAGTAAATATATGTTCAGCACTTGCCATAATAGGAGACACAGTGGCTATGCATCTTGCTACAACTCTAGAGCAATCATTCAACCCTGCTCTCGATTTGTACTTATCTTTTACTGGTCTTTTGGGCTGGAGAGTCAAAGACAGCCAGACGCTCTATTAACCATATCACTCTCTAATATATGGTTGGCTACAGAAATTGGCATACTTTAACCGCAGTAGCTCTATGAGCTGTTTTACTTAAAAGGCCCTTACTTTAGCTTAACAAAGCCACAACACCTGGCTGTGGTTTCTAAATGCTACTGTAAAGCAAGTAACACTATTAACTTATGAAATCACAAAAAATTGTCTTTTTCTGCAAGCTTTTGTGTTCACATGCCCTTCATCAGGCTCAGGGAAAATTAAAGATGGTAAAAAGTCCCCATAGGAAGGAAATAAAGTTCATTTTTGCACAGAGGAAGCTGAAGATGAAGGTCTGTCCCTCTGGGTCCATGACAGCATCTTTGTGAGGTGCTCTTTGTTGTGCAGATCAGGCAGGATTCCTTCCCTGGTGGTGTCAGATGGCAAGCAGGGAGGGGGAGAAATCTTTCTTGTTGTTTAGCAATGAGATCTTCAAGAGAGATTTCCACACCTCCTTGCTTGCCATCTGACACCACCAGGGAAGGAATCCTGCC